GGTTTAGGGTCTAGGGTTCAAGGGTTTAGGGTTCAGGGGTCTAGGGTTCAGGGGTTTAGGGTTGGGGGGTTTAGAGTTTAGAGGTTCAGGGTTTAGGGTTTAGGGGTTCAGGGTTTAGGGGTTTAGGGTTTAGGGGTTTAGGAGCAAATAGCAACTACTACAACCATCTTGAGGCTATGTTTAAAGGGCATAGTGGAAAAGAAAAATGGAAATAACTTAAGTATATTGGGGATGGGATACTGGGGAATTATACTTACTGGTGGTTAGCAGAGGAAGGGAATGTAACACCAATCTACTATATAATCCCTTGATCCCTGCTAACCTCCAGTAAGTCAAGGCTTAGGCTCCCCCTAAACCCTAAATCCCAAAACCCTATTTGCCATCCCTGGGCTTCCTTCAAAGGGATCTTGAAATCCAGAAGAAGTAGACTTGACAAGTATGAGGGCATGGATGTCCATTTTCTTCTCCATTATTCCGTGGATATAACCCCAATATAGAGGTACACTATAGTAGTTGCCATGTTCTTTTGCAGTATGAGGGCATGGCTTGGCAATGACATCGATGGGGCTGCAACTTTCATGCCGATGCCACTCCACTTGCACAAGATCATGTGCAGAAATGTAGAACGATACAGAAATCTGTATATATATATATATATATCTATCTATACAATTATATGTATGTGTATATATATATATATATACATTATGTATCTGGATATACATGTATACATACACACATATGTGCACATACGTATCTGCGGACGCAGTGGATGTAGTGAATGACTCAGACTGCTGAGGCCGGGGCATGCCCTCTACTGAACCTTGGCATGGTAGCAAGAAGCACCCTCATAGCAAGTTGACGACGGCCTGGAAGGCAACCATATTTGAGGGGTTTCCCAAAATTAGGGGTACCTTCTTGGAGGTCCCTAGAATAGGGAATTTAATATCTTGGGGTCTATATGGGGTCGCCGATTTGCGGAAATTACCATTTCTCAGAGCTAGTCTCAACCATCAGCACCTATTACCCTTTGGAAGGGTGGTATCATCACGCTCACTACAGTGTACACCTCATATAATCCCACTAGCTCCCGAATCATTATCCATTTGATGTTCCACTTACCCTCCAGTGCTTCTGTTACTATTTTAAAAAATAAGCTAGAATCTACACTCGTAGTTCCCCCCTTAATAACCCCGTTAATACTCCACATATAACCCTCTATATAACCCCTTCAAAACGTTGAGACTACAGCTTATGTAGTAGTACTGTTATACTATGATGTTTAGAAATACTATGATTCTTACTGAAAAGGCTAATGTAGACCCCTGATGAATCAAGCCCCTCCCCTTAGAAGGGATCATAGCAGGGGTCCTAACATTCAGGCCCTTCAAAGGAAGGGGTTTATTAATCATGGGTCTACACCCTTAACCCTAAACCCTAAATAGTAGTTTCCATGTTCTTCTCCATTATCCCTATATAACCCCAAAAGAACCCCCATACATCCGCATTAGTAGTTTCCATGCTCTTTTTCATTATCCCTCTATGATCCATACATTCCTCCTATATTACTCTATTACCCCTCCTAAATCGTAGCTTCCATTTTCTTTTCCGTTATCCCTATATGACCCCTTTATATCCCCTATATCGTCCCCATATACCCCCTTTATATCCCTGTATAAACCCCTATATTAATCATGGGTCTACATTAGCTGAGAATCCGGCCTCCCGTCTGAAGTGGCAGCTGGGAACATGGCGTGCATCATGTCGTGGGGATTAGAGGATAGGGATTGACCTTAGGGAATCTACAAACCCTAAACTCTAAACCCCAAACCCTAAACCCTTAACCTTAACTCTAAACCTTATACACAAGGATTGTGGATTTAAAGCTGGACTCCCAAGTTCTGGTTGAAGATTCGCTGGACAGAAAGAGATGAGCTTCCATGACTGTAAACAGCATTGGAGTATCTCCGCATTCATGAAATAATGCATCACGGCAAGACAGAAAAGACCGTATCGGGTTGGGACGGACCTGTTGAAAATGGCTGCTTTGATACGAGATTTCGTGTTCACACAACAGCGCAGGCAGCTGCAGATGCTAAACATCGCTCATGAGTGACACCTACATGCTGCGCTTGCTTTCTGCAGAGCTTTTCTCATCACTGATCTATCTCAAAAAGCTGTCACAGTGGTCTTTGCGCTATCAGCTTGCTGATCATGCGCAGTGAGCAAAGCAATGATGTTAGAAGTTGCTAAGCATGGCACTTCAACATATCACAGTCGTCTTTGCATGTTGCGCCAGTGCTTCCAGCATTCGCCCGGGCAACATCAAGCGGGGCACAACAAATACTGCGGGGTTGCGCAAGTGTTCGACTACAGCAGGTAGCACCCGCTGCGGGTTCGCAACAAGAAGCACTCCACACAACCCAGCAAGCCTGCATACCCCTCGGAAGCAACACGGCTGTAAGGCCAGATGCCGTTTGCTTCGTTAGGAATTCATTGCTTCCTGAGAAGTTCAAGCTACTGGCGTGGACCTTCCTCAATTCCCTGCTGCGAACCGGCGCAGGCCACCACCAACCTATGCTCTACGCCCGGGTGCGCCAAGATGCGCGCCCAGGTTTTTGTTAGAAAATTTCCACGGCGAAACACTGTCAGTGCTCTGTAGGCCAGAAGAGCTGCTGCAGCAAGTGATGATTTCACACATAGAGCAGCAGTAGCTTCTCCGATGCGGTGACTTTCTATAGATTTTTTGAAAAGCTAGTTCAGGACCCGCGGCGCAGGTCGTCTTCCATGCCTTCAGAGAAAGATCCGTACAATCTCCAACCAACGACTCCTTCGACCTGAATGGCATGCCGGGCGGGTCATCTCCCAATTCTCGTCTGCAGGTCTCCCGGAGAAAGTGCTGTTTATTGGCGAGAGCAGCCGTCTGAAAACAACCTTGCCTGACATACTTCGCAGTGCCCAACATACTTCGCAGTGCCCACTTCCATTGCTTGTTTCTCCGTTCATGCCAGACCTGTCGACTTGATTTTTATACAAAGTGGAAAGGCTCGATGAGCATGGACTCTTGTAAGCTACTGCTGCAATCTATCCAATCTCCAAATCCAAAGTTGAGTGTTCATAGCGCAAGTACTTGCAAGCGACCAGGATAAGCATGTGCAAAATCTCGGGTAAGGTGACCATGCTGGCTTCTGCTGCCTAGATTTACTCAATTTCAATCTGGTCTTCTTCCGCTTCTTCTTGTCTTCCTCGCGTGCTGCTTGGGCTGCCACGCTTGCTTCTGCACCTACACCCTGCCCTCCCTCCTCTTTCCTACTCCTTCTCATACTGCTACTCGTAGGCCTTCTCCACCCCCGGTCTCTTACATCCACCGCCAACACTTGTGACAACGGCCAGCAGGTCACTCCACAAACACAGAGAAGTGGACGTAGCTATGTATCAGAAGACTCTTTCTCGTTATCCAAGTTCATCGCCAGCGGAGTCCAAGGCTGAAGCCAGAAAAAAGAAATGGCGAAACATGTGATCTCAAAGCTTCCGTATGGAAGCTCTCAGAGTCTCACTGCGGACACCGCTGTCGCTGCTTCAACCTCAACTCATCATCATACCCAGGCTGAGATTTCCTGGAATTTGGAGTTCATGATGTGCTTTGGTCACCATACGCCACAGTCAGTCTCTGAGAAAAAGCATGAGGCTGGCAAGTAGCTCATCTAAGTAATCAAAGAGGCCTGAATGATAAGGGAACGACATGTCCTCCCGTCTTTTCCATCTTGTTCAAACTGGAGATATGTCGTCATACGTCTCCAACGCATCATTTGACCGCTAGCGAGGCTGTCAAGCAGTAGCCCTCTGACAAATGGACTTCCAAAAACGTGGGTTCCGTTTCAGTGATCCTTTGTAACATTACCATGGTCTGAATGGGGATGGGTCTCAGGGGGTAGGTATGTGGGAATCTTACGGAAATTTGGGGAGTACTTGGGAGCATTAGGGAATGTTGGGCATCCATGGGTTCCCTGCCCTCCTTGAACCAACGCCCCTGGACAACCCTTCAAATAACAAGAAACCAAGTTGGCTTCGAACATGTCAAGATTTGTAGGAGCAGTGACCCAAGACAGTAGCAGCAGCATGGCGGCGATTCAATCCCCCTGCTCCCTGAAGGTAAGGTCATAACCACCCCAATCTCCTGCACCCTGTACCCTTAACAACCCCTACCGAAACCCTACACATAGGTGCATCCACAGTGGTGCAACCAACTGGCGACACATTTTCGCGCGGGTGCTCTGAGCAAGGACCTGCTCTGCAACTCTGGGTCTGTGCAGATCTGTTTCGTCCAGGGGTTTAGGGATTTAGGGGGTAGGGTTTAGGGTTTACGGATTTATGGGTCTAGGTGTTGTGAGATAAAGGAGCTTGGGGATTTAAGGTTCCTCGTAATGTTCAGGCCTTGGGGTTTTGAGGATATTAGTTTGTGTCAAGGGTCTATGGCTCTATGGCATTGAGGGATTTGCGGTTCAGCGTGTGGGGTTGGAGCTTTGTTTTCTGGTCTGGAGTAGGATTAATTGAAGGCTTTAGGGATGTAGGGAGTTAGGGCAGTTTTGTTCGGATTCGGGATTCGGGCCCCCACTCCGAACCACACAAAGCCTCAAAAGAGTGAGGGATTCTCAAGTTCATGAATACTGAATACCTTTCTGGATCCCAGAATTTCAGGACTGCCACAGCATAATTATCCCTATCCCGTAACCCCCGCACCCCAAAAAAATGGAACCCCAAAGCCCAAGCTGTTTCTCAGGAAGAGCCGAGCCTTTGTCTGGCAAAAGTGAGACTGGCGGCTCTCCCTGTCCTCCAGCTGTCTCTCGCACTGCAGAGGTCTCCTTGGGCCAAGCAAGGCCCTATAGAACCCCTGTATAACCCCTATAACTCCTGTAGTTTCCATTTTCTTGTCCTTTATTCCAATAAAACCCCAATTTATGACCCATAATCCCAATGTAACCCCTAGTATTGTTTTTCCAACCCCAAGGACCTTTACGCACTGGCAAGAGGTTTTTCCCTAGTCGGTCTGCATGGCTAGCAAAGGTTTAGGCTTGGGGCTTCAGAATTTAGGTCTCATCTTGGCTTTATAGGTTTACAATGCCTAAAAGGTAACTGGGGAAGCCATGACAAAGCACGATTTTAATGTTTTTGCAAGGGCCCTCTGCCATATGGAAGGACTACCCCTGACTGGGAGCGTCCGCCCCAATTTTCTTTTGGGTTTAGGGCTTAGGGCTTAGGGTTTAGGGCTCAAGGTTCAGTGAATTCAGGGTTTCTGGTATCTGTCTGTCGCCCAGGCATCGAACTTCAGAGCGCGGGGCTTGTCTTCGGTCAAAAACAACCTGGTAGCTCACAAACATCAGGGGCCATAACAAGGTTCGACTCAGAACAAGGGGATACCTGACAAAAGCAGCCGAAAAATGCTTCTCCTGATGTTTTTGGGAAGCTCCCACCTGCTCGCCTCCTTGCTCCTGTGCATGAGGCTGATGAGGACCAGGCCGGACATCACGTAATGGACCGCGAGGCCACAGAGGACACACCTCCAACCCCAGAGGGCCGCATTTCGGCTGAACATGGGCCCGGCCAAGATGCCCGCAAACTTGCTGAAGACGTTGCCGATGGCAAAGAGCTCGCTCGCTCGTGCATGGGCGACGTCGTGAAAAAGGGCTGTGAGCCCAGAGGTTTGGAAACCGTGGGTACCCATCCAGACAGTCAGCAGGATGGAGACGCCAAAGCGACTCTCCAGACTGCAGATGGTTACCAGGCACAGCGCTGGGAGCGCAGTGCCCAACAACCTCAGTGCTTCAAGCTAGCCTTACACATGTTCGAAGCGAAGTGATTGGTCCTTTTAGTTCCAGCTGACTAGTTGCCCAAGATGACATTGTAGGTGGCCTGTGCAGACAGCCTGGCAGATCACCAACTAAGGCACCAGCTGCATCAGCATCCGACAGCGGTAGGTCTCGAAGGATCTGGCCAGACGGTCTGCCAAGATGCCGCTGAGAACGCAGCATATGGAGTTAAAGAGCGGCGCGGCGGCTGTGAGCCACGCCAGATCAGACACCTGTGCTCCATACGCTTCCACGAAAAGGCTCGGCACGAAGCTGTAGAGGAAGGCGTTGGCAACCCCAGAAGCATACATTGCAAAATAGATTGCGAGGATTAGAGGCTCCTTGGACCAGACCAACAGCTCCTCCCAGTCCGCAGTGTCTGCTGCAAGCTCCTTGCAGGCACTCATCTACCCCAACAGGTTAAGAGCTTCAACACCTAGCAGAAAATGGTCTCAAGCAAAATCATACTGCCGCTGCTCTATCCAAGGAATAATAAGAAGCACTAAAAACAACAACTTGACAACAGCCATACTTCCTCCTAAGCCTTGAGGGTCCTTCGCCTTGGGCCGGGAGCTGGGAAGCATTCGGATAGCACTTGCTACGCCGCCGCCCAGCAGGGCGAAGAGAACGAACCTGTGTGTTTGGAAAAGGTGCATCTGCACAAAGCCTCTCACAAAAGTTTGTAAGCTCCGAGGCCAAGGGACGGAACTGGCCAGCCACAGATTTCCACCAGCTGCGGTGTTATGAAATTACCTGGGGTCTTCGCACCATGAGTTTAGAACATGACTCCTGGACCAGTGCAACATGCACACGCACACTGTGTCTGCGAGCCCTTCAAGGAAGCACGAACGAACACGTAAATACTTGGGCTGCAAAACTGCAAGGAAAATGCTGCTTGGACCTGTACGCAAACAACACAAAGATCACGAATCCCGAACATGCTTGACGGTCCCCATTTGAGCTACAGTCGAAACTCCGAGTATACCCCTGAATAAGCCTTCTCATGTTCCCTATATAATCCCCTACATAACCCGCTGAACACTGAACCATAAGCCCCCCATCTCTGCTGAAGTCACTTATCATGGCGCCCATAGCCGATGCACTCACAATCCTCAGCTGTCTCATCAACGGCTGGGCCACTTCGTGGCTTCAGTGTTTAAGGTTTAGGTTTAGTAAGGAATAGGGGTAAAAACATATAGGGATTATATAGGGATTCTAGTCCCTCATTCCCTACTAAGAACCAATAAGTTTTGAAAGACTCGTAATCAGAATGTTGTCCTCACATCTCACCGGCAACCTCAAGCGGAATCGAACTGAAATGTTGACTAGTGGGATTGCCCGGAGCCTTGAGATACGACTTATATCTGTATACATATATACAGAAATTGCGCGCAAGGTTGCTTGACGGTGGATTTGGGGGGTAGCATATACATACATACGCACCTGCCTGCCTGCATGCCTGCATGCATGCACGTGTAGTTGTTGTTGGGGTACCCTCCTTACAGACTGTCCAAGAACTTTCAAGAGGCTTCTGAAACGCTCGGAGCCCAATTTTGGAGGTTCCTGGAGCAAGGATCCCCTCATTTTCGGGCTGAACCCTAAACCCTATGACTCCCAAAAGCTTCGAGGCTCAAGCTAACGGCCAGGCCTTTTTCCGACGCTGGCACGGCCTCTGCCAGCAGTGCATGCGCTGCAGGGTAGCCAAGGCCGCAGCCTGAATGGTTGAGAGTTTACGGGGAATTGGAGTTCTCCAAATTGCTTCGCATCTTGGGGGGTTGTAACGAGGATCCGTGTTGAGATCATTTGAGATCTAGCTAGTCTGAGAAGCCGCTCATGTCCATTGCTCAGAAGCAAGGCAATTCAGCGCTTCTGGGGTTGCGGCAGAATCCAAATGGCAGCTTCAGCAAGAGAAGCCCCAGCATTGGGCCCTGCACAGCCAAGGGGACCTCAGTCAGGGGACAAAGCTTGCAGACAGTAGATAGAATATGGCCTTATGTATATGGTAATAAGATCCCCATATACCCCATATTCTATCTACTTAAGGGGGACCAGCATCACATTGGAACAGGGATTGTCATTGGAATGCCAAGTGGCAAGCAGCAGCACGAGGGCCCAGGCGGCTGTGCCCAGGCTCAGCAGTTGCTGGCCACTGTAGCGCTGAACCAAGGGCTTGGCGGCCAACTGTGCCACCAGATCCCCAGCGAAAAAGGCGCTGGCCGAGGCCCCAACGAGCTCCGAGGCAGAACAGCGGGAGTCGGCACAAATCACGTGGGAGACCACTGGGAACACGGAGCGGGAGCCATAGTTGGCTGCCAAGGCGCAGATAGCCAGCAAGGTCGGCAACGAGGGCTTGCCCATAGTGGGATTGCTATGAGCCCATGCACCCTAGCTTCATTCGACCGACTGCTTTGAGCCAACACTGCATGTGAGATGCTGGAGATTGCCTTGCCAACCATCCGCTACAAAAGACTCCCCGGAAAGCTACGAGCGACGCCAGTGCTGCAACACCAGGTTTGGGCTCCACAGAAACGACTGGCATTTTGCCAAACATGGCGTGAACCTTAATCGTCTCTCCCAGCCTACAACGGCAGAGCCCGTTGGGGGTGGTGACAAGAATGTCGTACCTCTGCCCCACAGCAGCCTCCCATGCAGGGATTACCTGATCGAGCACCGGATTGTCGTTGCCCGTAGGCGCAAACTCAAAGAACATGCTGCCAGGATCCTTGCTTGCAGAGAGACTTTCTAAAAATGCATATGTCCGAAGATGCCTACGATGACTTGGGCAAGCAACCAAAACATTGCTGAAGCCTGTAGAGCTAGGGCTCTAGCAGATACGTACAGACACCAAAAGGCAAGTCTGGGAACACGTTGATTCCAAGATGCCCCTCCTCGGTGCAGTAGAGCCTTGGACAGATACAGAAGGCGCAGCCCAAAGCAAGAAGGAAGAGCGGAGACAACAACTGCTTTCTCTTATGATCTATGATGCCAGGCGACGGAGCATAGGTAGGAACCCTCCCCAAAGACTCTTTCAGCGCTTCATCACAGGATGTCTCTCCAGTGATGACAACCACCTGCCAGGAAAGCTAGTAAAGCCAACAAACTTGCGCCTAGACGCGGGAGCAATGTGTGGAGGTTTAAGGCTGCAGGATGGGTCTTTTCCATCCTGAACACACTCGGTTTAGGCTTAGATATGGGGTTATGTTGGGTTATATCAGGATAATGGAAAAGAAAATGGAAACTACTATTTTTATTTCGTTGATCAGGCAATCATCTCTCTGAAGAAACCTGGAAAAAGAGCGCTGGAAACTCCCGGCTGGTATGCCAATTCAGCACCGGCCTGCGCCCCAGCTCCCTTGAGCCTGAGTCCTTTTTGGGGAATCTATTTAGGGAAGTAGATTACGAATCACTATTGTAGTGGTATCTGCAATAGCAGCTACATGGCGTTATTGGTTCTTACCTGAACATAGCCTGAGTGTTTTCCTACCTAGGAATCTCTAGAAAAGTTATTAAGGGTCGCTGCCTTCAATCGCGGCCAGAGCTCGGACGCCAACGCTCGCGCCTTGAGCATGCGGTCCTTGGTGTAATGCCAAGACCACTGCTAGAGGGGCCTGGGCAATTGGGACAGTTGTTTTGGACCTGCAAGTAAATATAAGTTATATAGGGATAATGGAAAAGAAAATGGAAACTACTATACTATAATAGGGTATATATTGGGGTTCTATTGGGGTTATATGAAGTAAGTGAACAGAAAAGGTGTAGTACGCGACTCAATTCCGGCTTCTACATGACGGGCAGAATGAAACCAAGCCTCGAGGACATCAAGTCAAATTAGCAGTTTAGGGTTTAGGGTTTAGGGTTTAGGGATCGTTTCAGGGGATAGCCTTGCGAAGGCTTCAGGGTGTGTAGGACCTCAACCAAGACAAACGTCGGTAATATTGGGATGATGGAAAAGAAAATGGAAACTACTATAACATATTGGGCTAATATTGGGATAACGGAAAAGAAAACGGAAATTACTAAAGTATATTGGGGGAATACGGGATAATGGAAAACAAAATCGAAACTACTATAGTATATCCCTAAACCCTAAACCCTGCATCCAGGGCAGGAAACTCTTCGAAGGCCTCAGCGACACTTCGAAGAGTCGTAGCCCCTATAGGGCTGGCCCCAATATACTGTAGGGTTCAGGGGTTGGGGATATACTATAGTAGTTTCGATTTGCTTTTCCATTATCCCAATGAGTGGCTGAAGAGCAAGCCCAGGGCGGCAAGGATTCTTCATTGTCTTTGGGTTTAGGATTGATGGCTCGGAAAAAAATTGACCTTGCTCCAAGACTCCACCTCTTGGGAACGCCGCCCGTCAGGGCCGCACAACCTTAGGAAATGCATGCAGAGATGTGGACCTCGGCCTGATTCCTACCTTCTAAACTGACCCTGACGTCCAGCAACGGACACCCCTCAGGGGGTACAGTTCTTTGCAAGATCATGGCTCCAGGACATTTGAAAATCCCCCCTCCCGATACCAGTCAGCAACCATTGGTCAATCTGTCATGGGATTGTCCTTCAGGGCAGGTACAATCCTCGATTCACAAGTCATCTCTCAGACTGTTTAGAACTGCATGGAAACCCCGTGAATTCTGGGACCCAGGTTGCAGGGCACCCCAAAAACAACCCTTCAAACCTGGGACCCCACAGCCTCTTCTCTTCTGAGCAACGCCGCATCCAGTACCGCTCGCATCTCTGGCTGCGGCGCTGCCTCTGGTAGCTGCCGGTCCCAGAGGTGGCCTAAGGAATAATAGCAAGGGCAGGGGCGGAAGTAGAGCACTGCCTTACTACTACTACTACTACTACTACTATGATGATGCACGTCATCATGGTATTACTACTGCACACCTGACCCAGAAATCATGCACATTCAAAGCTCCTGTCAGGTTCTGGAGGTACAAGTATCCTGATTGCCCTTCCGTGCTGCTCCCTGGCTTGTCACTTTGACTTCTATGCCGTTATATCCCTGGTCGCTAGTCTCCTGCAGAGTCTGAAGGATCACGAGTGCTGCCAGATTGCCATTTCGCATGTCCTGCACCAGGTGGCGGCGGTTGTCTCGTGCGCCGTTCAGCAGCTCATTCACACCTGCAGCTGAGCTGGACTGAATGATTCCCAGCGCGGAATCCTTCAGAGCAAAGAGCGCATGCGCGTACAGCCTGTCCGTCTCACTTTTCAGCTCATAGGCCTCGAGCGGGCTGGCCAACACGAAGGACAGCCGTTGGACACTGCTCTCTCTTGTAGAGAAGCCCGGCAGCATGCCAAGTACATCGCGAATCGATGTCAGCAAAGCCACTCGCTGCAGCTCATCTAATGACTCGGGGAAAAAGTCTGCAAGCACCGCAAACGCGGTCAAAGCGCCTCTTTGGAGGAAAGTTCGCTTCATTTCCTCCTCCCTGTTCTCAATGTGCTCCTCATGAAGGCTGTACTGGCCCCCGCGCATGTAATCGCTACGATGCGTGACGGGATGACTTTGCCGAAAAACATCGTAGGTCGCAACTCCTGACAAGGCAAAATTCAATTCACTGGGTAGATGCCCAGGTGAAAAAAAACAGCTCCGCACGCGCACAAATCAAGAGAAATTAAAGCCTTTCATTTAAGACACAATTTCTCTGATCTGAGGAGAGGGTGAGGACGCAGACAAGCATTCAAGTGCAAAGGGAATCTGAGAACCCAAGGCACCATGACGAAAGTTTGCGCTCTAAATGGCTTGCTTCATCCTCAGGATGATTGTTAACACTACCAGGAGACAATCAGTCTGAAATAAACTGAAAAATGAACCCTCCGTCCTTGCAGCTTATGGCTTCGTGCCACAGATGTGCCCTGGTGCCGCTGCAGAATCTCAGTGAGCAGACTCCGCTGAACCTCTCAGTAACCCCCAAAAACAAGTCTTACGCACTACATGAGTACTTTAAGCCAGCCAGAGCCTTGCTAGAAAGGTGTATGTCCTAAACATATAGTAAGAACTCATGAGGATGTGCGATAGCCACAATACCCAGTAAGAAGACCTTATGACTATCGACTGAATTGTGCAGTGTCCTTGCTTTGTGCGGTGGGTTCTCGAACTACACTTGGTAAGCATCGGATGCTCAGACGAAAGTGGGAGCAGTCGACACTGCTGCCAAGAACAAGAACCTAAACCCTCAATCCTAGACGCTAAAAACCCAGGACATCAATGAGCGCAACCACCGTGACAACAATGGCCAATCCGCTCCCAGGGCCATGTAATGAAGCTAACCTAACGATGACGGCTATCAAAAACCTTAAACCCCTTAAACCCTTAAACCCTTAAACCCTAAACCCTAAACCCTAAACCCTTAAATCCCATAAACCCTAAACCCTAAGCCCCAGGTCAACGAAAGCAGCAAATGCGGAGTCACTGAAATGCGCAACCCTCCTTTTCCAGAGAAAAAAGGGATGCTTGTCCCAAAGACCCAGAATTGGGACTGCTCCTAACCGGCCATCAGAAGAAGGATAAAATGCTTGAATTCTCGGCCTCATCGCCCCTTTCCGCCTCACGGCAGAGGCGCCGGAGCTGCTGTCGGCCGCATGCAGCCAAGATCCAAGAGCTAAAATACCTAAATGTCTGCGCTGTTTGGTTGGGTGAGGTAAAGAGCTTGTCAGTTAAAACGCTTAGGAGTTAAGGACTTATAGTGGAGGCAAGGGGTCAGGGCTTAGAGTTCTGGTTGCCCTGTCTGATGAACTCATGTCTGATACCTGGGCGAAGAAAGGTTGCAAATACAGCCTGTGTAAGGATACCATGCAGCGTCCTGAAACAATAACCAGCTGTGTTCCTTGTATTGGGCTTCGAGGGACATGCTTGGTGAAAGACGCACGATCAGAACTCCTTGGGCGGATGAAAGGATCAGCGCTTTGATGATAACGATGCTCTCAAGACAAGTGATGCCGGTAAGAAGAAACAGGTCAGACCTGCTTCCCCAATTTACTGCAAACACTGGCCCATTAGAGAAACTGAGATCCTGGAGGCTCAACCACGCTCAAGCAACTTAGGACAACTGAGGGTCTTTCAACTCAGGATGATTCCAGGACAGGTAGGGTCTTCGAAAACTGCTAGATTATGTGGGGGCAGGATGTGCTCCCGTGGGGGGATGCGCGTTTGTGTAACAATGCCGCGGGCTTAAGGTACAGATAGGCGCTAAGGGTTGATAGGGCTAAGGCAGCAACGTCTAGATTGTCAAGCTAAGGAGCTGCGTCAGAGCAGTGGACCACGTGTGGCGCACGGACCACTCTCTCGTGCTGATATCATATAACAAGTAGCCAGCCACTCCCACACCGCCCAAATGGCACAGGCGAGAGAACTGAACCGGCATCCTCCGCAAACTTCTGGAATTCCTACAGGCTGCCCTGGCAGCATAGTCCGTTCGCTGTTACAACACCAATCTCCAAACTACTGAAGCTTAGCATCTTGAGTTGACGTGCCAACTCTCATCCAAAGCCACCGTGTCTGCGGCGAGCGGTCAAGATCTAAAAACATGCAAAACCACTGAGCACGTCACGGGATAATCATACCTCAAATGAAACTGTCCTTTTCTTTCATCAGTTCCCGTTGCAGTATCACTGCCCGCTCTCATCCAGCAAGGCGCTCGCCTTTGGCCAAGTCGTGAGTGTCATCAAAATCCCATTGGGGTAATATTAGGGTTATATTGGGGTTATATGGGGTTAATGGAAAAAATGGAGACTACTATAATGGGCTATATAGGGATAACATCACTGCCACGACCAATGCGAGAAAGAACGAGAACATACTGGCAACAGCGATGACAGCACATGGTAGTTTCCCTAAAT